AATTTGTGTTTACATGCTCGAAATTTTGCTTATTAACAGGGGAAAATGATTGTGTATTGGCTATAAAACAAAAAGATAAATAACTTCGAAACACTCTTCTTTTATATTCCTAATCAGATCTGATCTGAGAAGTGTTCAAATATGAATGCATTTTGAAATGTCAATATTTCAATAGATAAGAGAAAATGATGGTTATCAGGTTGATAAACATGTAAGCTTTAAATTGATAACACATTCATAAAAAAAACGCTCACTTCAGCTCTGTTTATAGCTTGCTAAACATTGCTTCTCGTATATTTTAATGCAAAAATAGTTTGTTTTTATAGGCACGCGCATTTTCTTTTAAATTGTGGACCATTCGCTGCCTTTAATCGAAAAACAATGTGTCACATTGAAGATCCAATGATAACCGATGTTTCTTAATTCGAAATTGCACCATTTTGTTATATAAATGAAAAACTATTTTTTAGCGGATGTAGGCAATAACTTGCACTTTCCAGTACCGTCCATGAACAGACTCGATCAAACCGACCCTGCAACATTTATAATTTCGTCGTTTTCTTAAAGTTCTTTATGGATTCAGTTTTTCTGTATTCTGTAGAAGATCAGAGTAGGCCATTAAAATACCGAGTTATATTAAGACGCGTTGTATACTTGGCATATAGTGTAAAGACATTTTTGAATAATATTTTCTGTATAGGGACAAATCAAATGCCTTTTCATCAGTTATTGCTGGTTAATTCAAATGTGAGTGTATTTTGAGTGAAGATGCACCCAATATACCCGAACAGCATCGTCAGTGAAGATGGATGCTTAAATGAAAAATAGTGAATACCAATGCAATATATGCCACTAGACAAATAGCAAGTATCTCATTCGGAAGAGCTCATACCATACCATTCAAAACGTGATTTGAATATGGGAAAGATCTGTGCTATATGGATTCCCTATTTGCTGACATATGAGCAGAAAAGACTTCCAAGTGATGCGCAAAGATGTAAATTAATGAAATCAAAATTACTATACACGGTTTTGAATGGTTCATAATTAAGGAAAAGCGCATGCATTGCAAAAATGACCGGCAGTATACAGAAGGTATTGACTGCCATTTTCATTACAACTCAATGTCCAGCCATTGAGGTTGCTGTTCCTGAAAGCAAATTAGTAAATGGGAAATTTTACAAGTCAAAGTTCTTCATAAACTAAACAAATACTCGTATCATATTTGACCATTACCTTAAAGCAACGCGTCATTGCACAAAGCATCTACAGTGCAATACTTTCTGTATCAGAAAATAACAGTGTGTTCGCCCATTCTCTGCATTCACCTGATCTTCACTCTTGGTACAATTGTATGTTTCCAAAGCTAAAATTTGTTCAGTGCAAATACGACTGTTCTGACAGTTTTCAGTGTCTTCAATGTATATCTTAAAAGCCTTCAAATTTGGGTCCGAAGCCTAAAACTTTGAATATCTGTCAGAAGTGAATCCCTTGAGGGAACAAAATTAAAAACAATTCAGTGCAACCAATAAAGAATCGCAATTTTTGTTCTTAGGATGCATCCTTATTCGAACACTTCTTGTTCCCCCTCATATTCTATACTATCGTGTTCCAATGCCCATTTTTCAATACCTGTTGCACTTGTTAATCATAAAAATTGATGAGATGATGTTGTTTCTAAAACTTTATGGCAAGTTATCTTTGTTTTAGCTAATACAAAACGCTTTTTATTAACAGTTTATATGGTTCCGTTTCCGAGCTCTGTGTGTCCTTGGTATCTTGTAAATGTACAGTATTTAGATGGAAATTCCATAGTGACGTCACCGAATTACCCTCTAACGACAAATATTGACTATGAAATTAAATGGATTGTGAGTGTTGAACCCCAACGGTTTGCCAAAGTTGTTTTCACTAATGTATCACTATCAAAGGTATGCGTTCATTTATCTTATTGTGATATTTTAAACCTTTAATGGATAACAGTTATTCGCAAGTAGATAACGTGGGTAAACTCATTATTTTTGTTTTTGCTTTTTGTTGTTTTTTGTCTTTCTTTTTTCATTTGCAATATTACCGTTTTTGATTTTCAACTTTACATTTACTATAAAGAGAATTGAAACTCAATTTTATCAGTTTGAAATCAATTCTTTATAAGTTATATTCGAATTTCAAATTGAATGTTTTTGAAAATTATGTTTGCAATTGTTTGTATGTAATTGACTTCACAATCGTACATTGCTTTTAAGAAATTCTAGCCCGGTGTACTTTCGCTACAATTTTGATTGTTTCAAAAGGCTGCTGAAAATACAACCTTGCTCGATCTGTTCGTCTATCGTATAATGTTTTTCTTAGTAATAAAATATATTCTGACCTGCTCGTCCACACTTTAATTTTAACAATGTAATTCTAACATCATATAAGTATATTTTTTACCACTGGTTCGGTACTGGCTATTATATTATAGGATTGCGACGTGATAGTATCGGAAAACATCCAAAGAAATTCTAGATTTTTCATTGACCATAGTTTCAACAATGAAGTATTCGTATTAGAAACAGACCAAAGCGTGGTGTCGTTTAATGCAAGGTGCAATCAAATATGGTTAACGATGAAATTTCGAGCAATTGTTACTACTGAAGGTAGATTTTATGATATTTTTTAAACTAGCGACAAGTAGAAATATTAAAGTTAAGGATTTCATCAAACAAAAATATACGCCTGACACATACTTGATAAAACCTGCAGATCTGTTAATTTAATCCAAATATATGCAGTATAACAAGTACTTTACCTCTGGTATTTATCAAAATTAAGCTGCAAAGTGTAATGTAAAAAAAGATACAAAAATATTTAAATAATTTGTTTTTAAGACACTGAAATCCGTATTTTTTATTATATGTCATGATTGCATTTGAAGTTAACGAAATAAAGTTGGATTTGTGACCTTTGTTTGCGGCTAAACTAATTCTAAAATGAAGTTCATTTAGTTGCTAAGAAAGGGCTTAAGATGGTTTGTACAGTCATTCTGATTTCGCTTTCGATATGAAATGGCATTTTTTTAAATAGTAATTTTACAATAAGGTCAAAGGCATGTTAAAACAAAAGTCTAGTTGACTAAATTGTAGGTACTTGCATCCCGATACAAGAATTCATACAATACATCCAATTATAACAAAGTTAGCCAATTATAGCCAACGTATGAGGTCTCATTTTATATTTTGAACTTTTCTTTTAACATTTGTTAATATATCCTTCGTTTTAGGAAAACTGTTTTCTTTTCCTGTTTATTGCTTTAAGTATTCTGGTTTTGAACAGTGTTCCTATGCCAAAAGTTCTAACTATATAACTGCTCCTATTCACTTTTGCCGTCTTGATTAGTTGAGAAGAACGAGTACTATTGGAAAAAATAATAAAAATCATTCTGTAAACACAAAGAAAAACAATAAGGTTTTAAAATAAATGCATAATATGAATAATTAACCCTTTCCCCCATGAGCATATTGTGAAAAATGGCCGTTTTCACTGAAAAGCCTCCTGTTACAAGTTCAAACTGCTATGAAACTATGAAAAATGCTTCAATACTAATCAAACTTGGCACAGATGTTGACTAGACCATTGTCTTTGTAACGACATGCTCAGTCTTAAATTTCCTGTTACCATGGCAATGAGGGGGCATCTCAAAATTGCCAAAAATCACTATTTTGCCTCGATTTTTTCCATCAAAATTTATTTCAAAGTGCTGCAACTTCACAAGGGATTGAGATAGAGTCAAAGGCTTTCAAGCGTTGGTTGCACGTTACATTATGATCGACCTGGCGTCATTTTTAGCCTCTCACAAGTCCATAATTTTCTTGGCGATGAGGGCGACTCCGCCCCCCCTTCAAACCCCCCTAACAGAAGGGGGCACATCCCCCTTCTGGCAACCCCCTGATGTATCTTTTGGATGGGTGGCGGCGCCGAAAAAGTGCTCTATCTTTTAGCAACATTTCTCAAACGAAAACATGTGTTTGAGGCCCAAATATGACATTTTTTCACTCTTTGAGGCCTAAAAAGGGGGGGGGTCGAAAGTGCGTTGTTTCGTGTATATATGAGGTAAAGGGTTAACTTATATTGAATGGATGCATTATTATCTTAAATAAGAGCACCGATCATGTGGAGGTTGTGAAATCTGGAACTATAGACTCTCGGAAAGATTTCTTTCTGTTTATACCATTAAAGTTTTGGACAATTAAAAGTTCAGTCATTCTGAAAGCTGTTATTTTGTATGTCTTAAGGATTGTGTGAGATTTGCGAATATTTACTAAGCATAGATGATGGTTGCGTACTGAATTTCAAGTCAAACCCATAGATATAAAATAAAGATTTTGGTTTAAGTAGATTTGGCCACCATATTCCACTTGCTTAACTTCTTGACCATCATGTTATTTAACATGTTGAAGGATATAAAAACAATTAAACATTTTCACTGACTTAAATTTAGAGGAATTCTTTTAAATAAAACGTGTGATGTAATATCCACTTAATTGTTAAACCCTATGGGTTTTTTCTTCCAAAGGAAATTGATAGTATGTAAAACAAACACGTCTTTCATTTTTATTGTTAAGCTTCATTCATTTTAGCTGTCATTGACATTGAATTTTCTGTAAAAAATCTTCAATGCTTTTAAATTCCATGACTATTTTGAAATTTGATTTAAGAAACATTTGTTATGTATAGTCCACAATGAATACTCACAAATTAGCGTGTATGTACCAAAATTTCAACGGTGGTTCAAAAACTCATTTTAACTCTATTTAACAGGTGGGGTTTTATGACTGAAATGTTCAATTACTTTTTGTACGAGTATATATACTCAGTTGCAAAAGAAAATGTGCACTTGGTTACTTGGAATTTTTTTGTACATACAAATGCGAAAACGTAGAAAAATTGGTATAAAAAATTGCAGAAATTTTTTAATTGTTTAATTTGTAATGAAAATTTTAAAAGTCAGAATCAGAGTTACCTGTAAATAGCGATGAGTGATAAACATTAAAAGTTGCAAAATTGTGATGTTTTATCATTAATTTTACTCGTTACCTGGCCATTAATCTGTGTGTTCATCTGTTTGGATCAATGAATGTGATCGAGACTGCATGACTGATGCAATGCCGTATGGACGTGGAATGATGTTCTTTTAAACACTTAAAATCAAAGTAGTTATAATAACTTTGTATAGCTAATATGTATTCAAAATATTTCCTCATGTACTATTTTCCAGTACTTAATTGTTACTCGGTGGGTTGTTTCTGAATTTGATTTTTAGTATTCTTTAATATTTCGCTAGCATATAAATTTGCAATTTTAAATCTTCATAATCTCGGATCCATTCTTATTGCAGGATATGACAGAATTATTAACCTTTAAATTCAGATTATCAAATATGGGTGTAACTAATTTTTGAGTTTCTTATGTTGATATTAACTATTATGAGATTGTGCAATTGTGATTGGCGTAGGGGACCTGTAACACAAAGATAAACATACAATTTACACTTGGAAAGGCACAATGTCAACACTAGGAAAGGCACAATGTCACTTGAAACGACTGCTGAATTAGAAGTTTATTCGTTTAGTTATCTCCATATTGATGTTTTCATTTATCAGTATTTATCCATTTCGTCTAGTGTAATGAAATGTGTAAAGATTATTATGTTATAATTTGTTAACCTGTTTTTTACCTTCCAGAAACTCCAGCTTGCCTTAGCCTTGGTATCGTTGGTCAAAGAGGAAACAGATTAGAACGGTGCTCTAAATCAAACATGATTCTTTCTACCCGTTCATATTTGAATATTGACCACACTAACGGCAATGAGGAGTTCCAAATAGACGCCAACTATCACCAAAGCATTGATATCTCCTTCATTGATTTCTACATGCCGTGTTATAGTAGTGACTGGATTTTCGGTAAGAAAATTCAAAACTACGTTTACCTTTACATATGTTGTTATAATTGAAATAAATAATACGAGTTTATATCTTATTTTATTAGCGGGAAAATTTGCCTTTGTGTTTAAACGAATTCCGATTAGACTTCATAATGTTTTTTAGAGAAATGGTATTTTAGCAGTTATGCATTATATAATTTTATTATGTTTGTTTAATATTTTGGATTTTAAGTCAAACGGACACTATAAAGGTCATACGACGACTTTAAAACTTTACTGTGGAAAGTAGACCTCACATGCCCCTACGTGCAATATTAATGCATTATGTAAGTCACGGCGGGAAATTAAGAACTCTGTAAGCTAGCCGTATAGCCCCCTTCACGCGAGTTTTGCTAAGTCACAAGTGAGTAAGAAAAAATAAACATCTTCACGCGCGCGTCACATTATTAAGAATATTCCCTTTTTGGTCTTCTTAGAGATTGTAAAACCATTTTCTGGGTTTAAACACGGACATTCAAATATAATTTAAAAGATCCTGGCTTACATTAACGGACATTCTTACTATGTTCAAAGCTTGCATTAACTGATAATTTAACACATTTTCCTTACAGGCATACATTACTTCTTCTCTAATTTACATTAAACAGAAACTTTTACAATTGTCTGAATTTACACATAAGAGATATTCTTCATAAACACAAAATATTCATGCATTATGTCAATTACGGACGGGTATTTAGGACAAACTACCGAGTCTGCGATATAAGCATGTTATTAAGAAAGTAATTATTGACATTTTAATGTATACTTTCCAGATTCCAAGCCTAGTAAGTATGTCTTCTGACAATTTATAAATATTGTCTTAAATGTATGGAGAGCAAGTGCATGATTGGCATAGCTTGCTATATTGAATGTTTCTCGTTTTGTCTCAGTTGTAATACTTGTATCTTTTTGATATGTGTAATCTAATCTATCAGTACATTGTTTTTCCTTATATTGATTTAAAATCGATTTCAACAGCAAACGACCTCTCTTGTAAAATATTTAAAGAATAAGGTTCTGAACTGTAACAATAAGGAGAATATGCGCATAAAAGGTCTAAGACTGTCATGTTAATCGTTTTGTTCTTTGTATTAATACAAGGGTGTGCCAATATGTAATGCAATATGGTCCATAAAAATATCAAAGGGACAATTTTCTATTTAACCTCTTCCCTTTTGACAAATATAAAAAGTTCCAGACATTTCATTCAATTCTAAATGCTTCAACATTGTCCTTATGAATACATTTCAATAACTTGGCAAACCTCCACATCAACTCCTAGGACTGAAGGCCAAAGCGTTCTCAAATTATTGGTCGAAAGAAATTTCCCTTTGACGTGAAGATAACTGTGCGCTTATCCGTCTGACCAAAAACTTTGTAGTGGTCACCTACTCATCATAATCAACTATTCTTTTTTCTCGAGTTACTGGTCAGACTGGTTGAAAGGCCAAAGCTAAAGTAATTTTTACCACTTGATATCAAAATCAATTGGGGTCATCTTTTAGTCATGACGAACCTCTATCAAATGTCCCTATGTCATTCCATCAATTTATGCGATCTTATCGATAACAATTCTATATTATTTGAAATCGTTAGAAAAATAACTATCCCTATAATGCAAATTATATAGACCCTGCGTTGTAAGTTAAGTGACTAAAAGTATGACCCCCCGGTCAATACTTTTTAAAGAATATTAACTCCCCGTTCATAATAGTATGACCCCCGGTCATGTATATAAAGTTAGTTCCCAATTCCTTATTTCTTATTCCTTTTTCGAATAAGGAAAAAGGAATCAGTTCAGGAAACTAGTTCCTGATTCCTTATTCAAATCTAAATAATGAATAGCAGAATTAGTATTTATCTAAAATAAAATTATGGTTAATCAGAAAACTAAAACGGTTCTAATTTCACAAATCTGTTGAAAATTGCACAAATAAATCATCAAAATCATAGAATCAAGCATCTGCATCGTCATATTTCTAAACAATATTCAAGTCGAACAATGAATAATGAACCCGTTCCTTATACGTCATTAAAATCATTGCATAAAGCATCTGCATAAAAAAAATTTTGAAAATATGTTAAAGTCGAATAAGGAATAAGAAACCAGTTCCTTATTATTATTCAACTCCGAATAAGGAACAGAAGAAGATACGCCAATAGAGACTGCAGTTGCAGTTATTTCTTATATATCTGCATAAAAATTGCAAGGACCAATCATTAAAATCAATAAATAAAGCTACTGCATAAAATATTTTTTTTAAATATATTCAAGTTCATTCGACTCATAATAAGGAACAGAAGAAAATACGTGAAGAAAGACACCAGTTGAAGTTATTTATGATAAATATGCAATAGAATTGCAAGGACCAATCATAAAATCATGAAATACTGCATCTGCATAAAATATTTTGAAAAAAATGACAGAGTCGAATAAGGAATAGGGAACCCGTTTATTATTCCTTATTCAACTACAAATAAGGAACAGAAGAAAATATGTAAAGAAATACACCAGTTGCAGTTATTTGTGATAGTCTGCATTAGAATTGCAAGGATCAATCATTAAAATCATGAAACAATGCATCTGCATAAATTATTTGGAAAAAATGTTAAAGTAGAATAAGGAATAGGGAACCAGTTCCTTTTTCCTTATTCAACTCCGAATAAGGAACAGTGAAACATACGTAAAGAAAGACACCAGTTGCAGTTATTTCTGATAAATCTGCATTAGAATTGCAAGGATCAATCATAAAAATCATTAATTAAACCATCTGCATAAAATATTTGAAAAAATGTTAAAGTCGAATAAGGAATACGGAACCAGTTCCTTATTCATTATTCAACTCCCAATAAGGAACAAAAGAAAATACGTAAAGAAAGACAGCAGTTGCAATTATTTTGGATAAATCTGCATTAGAATTGCAAGGATCAATTACAGTTAAGTCTCGCTATTGAGATCACTTTGGGGTCCTGGTAAAAGTGGTCTTATTATCGAGTCGGTCTTAATTTGGAGATCCGTGCTAATGTTTACTACTATTATGTGTTCTGGAGTAGGATGTTATCATTAGCGACTGGGATCATTGAAACATAACTGTTTGAATAACATAAACCAATTAACATGAATTTTATTCAACCAAAAGATGATTTATTGAAATGACATTATTTATTTTCGACAGTTTTCATAAGTAAATTTCATTTTAATCATTGTTGTTCAGTTGTTGAGTTCTGGATATCTCATGCATACTCATATTTCCCACCCATCTAAATGCTCATCCATTTGTTTCAGGATTATCCGGACCTAAAAGTAAAAAAATGAATACGTTTTTTAGTTTAAGTAAAAATAAATTGTATCTGTAATTGTTTAAATCTCTATTGTCATTTAAAAATTTGTGAATCAACTTTATTTTTTGTTCTGAATTAATTATTTTCCGTTTATGATTCTAAATTTTATTTTAAAAGACAATTGGATTGTATTAAATTTGCAAAAGCGGTAAAAGTTCTAACTCCGAATTGTAAAATATCTTTTTTTTTTAACATAGACGAAATTACCTACCTATCCGAAAGTGTGTGTTGTTAACACATCGGTCGTCTTTCTTTGATTCGCATCAATCCAAAATAATAAATTGAAAGGAACATTGACACATTCAATCCCATTCCTTTTAATCACAAACCGCTAATCTCATTGATAATCTCATCTATAGACACTTTAATTTCAAACTGTTAATTGATATTCCGTGTACCGTAAATCGGTCACACCTTCATGGCGGTTGTCGTTAAGTGTTGTAAAATTATTTGTTTATTGGAGATAATGGGTGACATGTAGATCTACAAGTTAGCGAGCAGTGTTACTAGTGGTCGTTTTATTGGACCCCTTTTGCATTGTTAAGTGAGAATTCGGACCTAATACGTAGTATAGTAGCGGGTCGGTCATAATTTCGGGCCTTATGACCATTGAATTATTTAGGCAAAAAATCGGGACCGGAAAAAAGCGGTCATAATATCAAATTGCCCGCAATTTAGGGTCGGTCGTAAAACGAGACTTTACTTGTATTAAAATAATTGCATAAAGCATCCGCATAAAAATATTTTGAAAAAGAATGTTTAAATTCATTCGACTCTGAATAAGGAACAGAAGAAAATACGTAAAGAAAGAAAGATATCAGTTGCAGTTATTTTTGATAAATCTGCATAAGCATTGCAAGGATCAATCATATAAATCAATAAATAAACCATATGCATAAAATATTGAGAACTTGAACATTCTTTTAGAAATATTTTTATGTGGATGATTTATGCAATGATTTTAATGATTACGTATTATTTTGTTCCTTATTCGGTGTTGAATAAGGAATAAGGAACGAGTTCCCTATTCCTTATTCGACTTTAACATTTTTTTTTAAATATTTTATGCAGATGCTTTATTTTGTGATTTTAATGATTGATCCTTGCAATTCTTATGCAGATTTATCAAAAATAACTGCAACTGGTGTCTTTCTTTACGTATTTTCTTCTGTTCATTATTTGGAGTTGATAAGGAATAAGGGAACAGGTTCCCCTATTCCTTATTTGAATTTAACATTTTTTTCAAAGTATTTATAATATACAGATGCTTTATGAAATGATTGTATTGATTTATCCTTGTATTTCTAATACCGATTTATCAAAAATAACTACAAATGGTGTTTTTCTTACTTCTGTTCCTTATTCGAAGTCTCATAAGGAATACGGCACTGGTTCCTTATTCCTTATCCGACTTTGACATTTATTTCAAATATTTTGATGCAGATGGTTTATTTAATGATTTTAATGGTTGATCCTTGCAATTCTAATGCAGATTTATCCTAAATACTGTAACTGATGTCTTTCTTTACGTATTTATTCTGTTCTTTATTCGGGGTCGAATGAACTGAAACATTTTTTTTTTTTTTCAAAATATTTTTATGCAGATGCTTTATGCAATGATCTAATGAATGATCCTTGCAATTCTCATGCAGGTTTTTTTTAATAACTTCAACTGGTGTCTTTCTTTACGTAAATTCTTCGGTTTCTTATTTGGAATTGAATTCCTTATTCGACTTGAACATTTTTGTCATAATATTTTATGCAATTGCTTTAATTTATAATTTTAATGATTTATCCTTGCAATTCCAATGCAGATTTATAAAAAATAACAGAAACTGGTGTCTTTCTTTACGTGTTTTCTTCTGTTCCTTATTCGGAGTTGAATAAGGAATAAGGAACAAGTTCCCTATTCCTTATTCGACTTTAACATTTGTTTTATGAAGATGCTTTATTTCATGATTTTAGTGATTGCTCCTTACAATTCTATTGCAGATTTATCAAAAATAACTGCAACTGATGTCTTTCTTTATGTAATTACTTCTGTTCCTTATTCGGAGTCAAATGAACTTGAACATTTTTTTTTCAAAATATTTTTATGCTGATGCTTTATCCAAGGATTTTAATGATTGATCCTTGCAAATCTAATACAGGTTAATCAAAAGTAACTTTAACTGATGTCCTTCTTTACGTATTTCCTTTTGTTCCTTATTCGGAGTAGATAAAGGAATCAGGAACTGGTTCCCTATTTCTTATTCGACCTTAACATTTGTTTTCACCATATTTTTTATGTGTATGTTGTATGCAGTGATTTCAATGATTGTTCCTTCCAATTCCAATGCAGGTTTATCAAATATAACTGCAAGTGATGTCTTTCTTTACGTATTTTCTTCTGTTCCACATTCGGAGTTGAATAAACTTGAACATTTATTTTTCAAAATATTTTATGCAGATGCTTTATTTAATGATTTTAATGATTGATCCTTGCAATTCTGATGCAGATATATAAGAAATAAATGCAAATGCTGTCTCTATTGGCGTATCTTCTTCTGTTCCTTATTCGGAGTTGAATAAGGAATAAGAAACTGGTTCCTTATAACTTATTCGACTTTAACATTTTTCCAAAGTATTTTATGCCGATGCTTTATGCAATGATTTTAATGAGGTACAAGGAACGGGTTCATAATTCCTTGTTCGACTTGAATATTGTTTAAAAATATGACGATGCGGATGCTTTATTGACTGATTTGTGCAATTTTCAACAGCTTTGTGAAAATAAGAACCTTATTGTTTTCTGATCAACCATAATCATATTTAAATTAATAGTTATTCTGCTGGTCTTATTAAGATTTGAATAAGGAATCAGGAACTAGTTCCGGAAAAGGAATAAGGAACTGACTCCTTATTTTTTATTCGAAAAAGAAATAAGTAATATAGAACTCACTTTATGTAGAACTAACTTTATGTACATCCCCCGGTCAACATGATTTGTCTACCCGACATGAAAAAAATTACTCGCAAAGAGAACCCCTGTTATATGTTGCCATTATCTAAAGTTGACCCCTTTCATAATTTACAGAAATTAATGAAGACATGCTTATAAGTTATGAAAAAAAAACATTAAAAAAATTAAGGCATGACTAAATTTCAAGTTTGGTAGATCTTTATCCAAAATGCTATAGCTGTAAGTTGAATTATTTTTAAGGACGAACTTTTTCTGATTTTATTTTCACTGGGTTTGTTAAATATACTTAAAACTAACAAACAAACAAGTTAACTTCTTGTTGTTGCTTTGTACTACTTGTAATGCAAGAAATAGCAAAAGAAGTGTTACTACTTTTTGTATACTTATATATCATAGGGCGTAACGGTATGCATGGTTGGGGGGACAAGTCAATATTTAAAAGGAAGCGGTGGACGAGTGGTAAAAATATCAGTCTCTCAATCCAGGGATCATTGATTTGAGCTTTACAGTGGTCTCGACTATGTTCTTCAAATTTTACAAGTTCAGTTGAGTTCCTGGAAACCGACTTTATAGTTGTTCGAAAAAGCTTCAAGCTTTTATAAAGTAAAAATATGTGAGACGTTTTTTATGAAGAATAGGACATGCTTCCAATTGAATTCGGACCGGGGTCACTAATATACAGGTTAAAGATAAAATTAAGGCACATATTGTCTCAACTCGAGTTTCTGAGGCAAGGTGATTATCATTAAAAAATTTTGACAAAAGTTAGTACGTTTACTTAAATAAAGGGTAACTTTTGTCAATAAAATTGACAGTAATGTCAGTAGTATATTTTGTACTACTGACTACTTTGTGGATAAACGGGAGAATGACAAAACTATTACGTAACGCACACGTTGGTGCTAAATAAACAACTTTATTTTGCAATAGTTCGATAGTGTATTACTTGTGATTAGGACAACATTTTGCGCAGTACTTGTACTTGCAAACTTGAAAATAGCTCACATTTTTTATTCATATACTTTACTAATTGATCATAACTAATTCTGAGGGTAACATGTAGCATATAGAAGGCTGTCCAATTAAGTCGTACACAAATACTGTAAAACATAAATTTAACACTCCAGCCAAACATGCACAAGTGTACCTGCACCAAATGTGAAGTATAAAATCGTTATTACAAAAAAACATACGCTAAATATTAAAGCATAAATACAGCCATGAGATGGGCGTAAATAAAGGATGAAGCTATCCTTAAAAATGAAACTTCCAAAGATACCACTGAGTGTTGTATTCAATGCACACAAAAAACTCATATCAAATAATAATAAATATCAAAAGTGAACACTTTCTAATCATGTGGTTAGAAAACAATGTGGAATATATTACCCGATCCCCTCAGTACTGAATATCATTGGGGGGGGGGAAATGTCGGATTATGTCAATAATAAAACCTGACAGTTGTAAATGTTTTGTACTTGATCTCAGTATTTTTCCCTCCTAGATCACGAGTTCCATACCTTCTACTTTTGAGGATGAAAACCGCAGAAACCGATGTAAAGAGGCGCGAAAGAGTTTGCACCTTTCTTTTATTTCTCATAAACAGTCTCATTAAACAATAACAAGTCAACGAAACAAGAAAGTAAAAGTAATTCAGCCTGTGTAAAAATTGAAGTCCGCGCATTAACATGAACATAAAGTGAAAGGAAAGGTCACAAGTCACAACAAAGATAAGCGAATGTGACATCAAACATTTGATTCAAGTAGTTAATTAATAATCTATTCGAGATTGATTCGATGAGGGTTCATATACATGTTTTAGGGGATCTTTTTTTTCTCCGAAATGAGTCAATACTTTATAGACAAGGGGTCGATTCAATAGACTATTGACATGGGGTCATTTTCTGTCGGCGTTACTTTTCTTCGTTTCACCGGCTTCCAGGCTAACATTACTTCGTTATGTTAATCCTAAGATTTTTTTTGTTGTACTTTGTTGCCAGTGCAAATAATCATTTCAATTTCAATTGGAATTCTTACGCTGCATCTTGTTTTCTTTATAACGCATATCTAACGATTACATTTTGTTTTACATGTTTAATAAATGATTTTCTTTTTACATTAAAATAGAATTAAAATCACGATTTGCTATCAAAGATGCTGACGGCGAACACGAGTTTTGCTCTGGAATATTACCACCGGAGACATACAAATCAAAAGGTTCAAGAATCGAATTGTTTTATCGTCGTCTTGATTTTTCGGGGGGATACTTGTATTCGTATGGCGTAAAAAGAGAGCGAATTGAAGGATTTCGGATACATTATAAAATAACAAATCATTCATTTCAAACGTTTACAACTGAGATTACAGGATCTGAATCAGAATCATCAGGTACGTATATATTCAAATACAAAGCGAAATCAAAACAAAGATTGTATCATCAGTGAACGAAATCATGTTTTTTGTTATTATTTTAATGTCAGCTGGATACCTCAATATATAGTATAATCATATAAAGGAATTTCCTTAGAAATTATAGAATAATAATAATAATTTTAAATAAAACATGTTTTTATATTTCAGCTTGCTCAGTGCTTTTCAGAAAATGCTATACAGTATTATCTGAAGAGGTCTCATGGGATATTGCAAACAGCAAATGCCGTAAGCGCAGTGAACATCTTGTTACTATAACATCAAGAAAGGAAATGAATTACCTACAATACTTACTACGAAATGCGTTAAAACGGCGGCGTTCGAAAGAAACACTTCATGGAGCGCATATTGGTAAATAGTTTGTTTGATTTATTTTCTTTTTCATTTTTAATTTGGAAATTAACCCGTTAAAGTTTCATTTCAACAATGTTTCTAGGTGGATTAAAATAACTATTCAAAATTATATTCTATATATTTTTAGCGTAATGTGTTACAATGTTTTGATTGTAATTTAAAGGCAAATACCTAAACTTAATCCGATTTTCTAATTAGTTCTGTCATCACAAATGGTATATGACGTTAGTTTTGTTTATTTTATGCTTTTCTGTGGATTACTGATTTATCCGTGAAAATAATATTTGATAATTTCACAGTGAAAATTATCAAAATATAATTTCACATTTTTCAATGACGAAACTACTTTTTTAAGATTTTCCCCATGATGTACCTCAATTTCATTTTTGCCGACAATTCTGACTATGTCAGGCTGTTTAAAGAAAAAAGCAAAGCTGAAATTGATAAATAACTTAAATGTCAAATGTAATAAAAAGAAGAAAACTTACTTCTATTCAATCAAATTCCAATCACCAAATTTCGTCTCTAAATTTTTTTGTTTTAATTTTTACAGTCTGAAAAATACATTCCTTCCACATGCAAAACTGCTCTTGATGACATTTGGGCATATTAAAGTATCCTACGAGCAATAACTGCCGTATGCTTTATAAAAAATTGAAAAGCAATGACAGCCATCACTCGAAGAACAAGTTAAAACCCAGCGTTCTTGAGCCAGCTTCCAAGTTTTCCATTTTCATAGCAGCTTTTTTTAATGTTTTCACATCTGTCAACACTTATTTATTGTCTGTTGCAATCCTCAAATAAGTTTTCTTTCTTTTAAAAAGGTGTATGACTAACAAATCCAAATGATATTCCTCTGAATCAAACACAAATATTTTCCTCCCGTGAAATACACAACTTTAAATAATGGCTGCCGCTTACATTTTACAAAGCCAGGTCTTATATAAATTCACAGTAAGTAACAGAAATATGGATGGATGGTTGGACGTTTTCTCCTACAAGAATTGTTTGTTTTTATTATTAAAACAAGCGATCATTCATATTTTTTTAATAAAATGAATAATATTACCGTCATTTAACGTCGATTGTCGGACTTATTTTTCAGCTCAAGACTTCTTGTTTATAATGAGAAATTCCGACTAAATGGGGAAAACAGATTTTAATATTAACGTTAATATTATGGAAATTTCGTTTTAACTTGTTTTAAAGCATAAAATAAAAAGAAAATTTGTTTGTTTGTTGTGTAAGATGTAATTTTATTTCATCTCGTGAACTTTAAAAACAGTATTCTCACTCGTCGCTACGCCACTCGTGAGAATACTGTTTTTAAAGCCCACTCGATGAAATAAAATTTCATCTTACACACAAACAAACAAATATCCTCTATATAATTTGTTTGATGAGTTAAACACATAGACTGAAACGAAAATTAACATAAAAGTGATTCGTTCAACGTATAGTATAAAAGCATGAAAATTGCATTCCCTATGAACCAATTACTTCATGATTATTTTGTGAAAAATGGCTGTGTTTATAAAAAATCCTGTTACAAGTTCAAATCGCAATGTACTTATATAAAAAACTGTTTAAATTTGACACAAACGTTAAATGGACCATTGTCTTTGTAACGGCATAATCAGTTTCATGTTAGCAAAAGCAAATAATAACTATTTTGCATTGGTTTTCCCATCAAAACTGATTTAAAAGTGCTGCAACCTCTCAATGGATTGAGATAGAGTCAAAGGCTTTTCAGCATTGGTTAGTACACGTTATCTTAAGGTCGGCCTGAGGCCAATGTTTGCCTCTCACAAGTCCGAAGGTTTCTTGGAGATGAAGAGGTCTGCTGACCTCATTAAAACCCCAAGCAAAAAGGGGCACATCCCTCTTCTGGCCCTTTAGGCCAGTCAATATAAAGATACACCTAGAACTAATTGCAAAAGAATTTTTATCAACACCTCACGAAAGAACTTAATCTTAAGTGCTTACCATAAAAAGTCCCGAATTTTTGCATTTGCAATTAAAAAGATAAAAGCGGTTTTATGTAGCGATTTTTTCCATTTTAAAACTTGCTCCAACTACGCTACCATACCAGTAGATTTCACGCGCATTGTTTGTGACGTCACGGAAAATAAGTATGGCGGCGCCCATATTGAATCTAAAACGGCTGTCAACAACCTTCGTTTTGGAACTTCTGAACCGTTTGGGGGTAAAGTACAAGGTTTTTACTTAAAATCTAGGTAGGTTTAAATTAAACCAATATTTTTTCAGATGTTTATATCACAAATCTTTCGACGATAACGTTTAAACAATAAAGAAATCAGCGAATAGTTCATGCTTGCGTCATTGTAAAAAAATAATTCTAATAATAAAAATACTTTGAAATTGCATGCAAAAAAATCACCTACACGCGTATTATTTATTTTTCTTCATTTGCATTTTGTTATTTGTTTATTATTTATACGAAACAAAAAGAATGAATCGATAATTGTACTTCAGTTTTTGACGACTTTTTGTACTACGGAAGCAAATACGGAACATAAATCTAACATTTGGTTTATCATTTTTGTTACTAAATTTTGATTTATTTTTCGCTTTTAATAAAGTTTTATCATTGTAGGAACACAAGTAAAATTTAAAATGACTGTTTAGGAATTTCTATGTGTCATTGCCAAATATAATAATGGCAAGATCATACTGCTAGCTTTTAAAATTTGTTGTAAATTGCGAGATAATAAAATTAGCAAACTCATAGTCATCAGACTTTGCCTTATTTTGAATCATGGCCGTTTTTTATATTAAGTTTAACTCAACAATCATTAAAACTTTAATAAAATAGCAATGTAATAATATCATTTGATATTTTTACTGTTATCTTATTGGTTTGATGTATAATTCATACTTATTAATATACGTATTAATATATGTTGATCAATATTTACAAAATGTAATATCTAATCTATTTGATCTCCATCAAAACAGTGATCTTTTGTTCCAGGTGGACACCAAGTTCCTGAGTCAATCAATGACAACGAATCTTCTGTCCGTATTCGAGTTGGAGAAAAGGGATACTAAGGGATATGTGCTGCTTGGAAAAACATTTGCTTGAAGTAGAAATAAATCCAAATATCCAGGTTCATGTTTTACGTCGCAAACATTTTTGGGACAAAACATTTATAGCAGATATATCTGCTTGAAAGAAAGAAAGATCTATAACTCCCAAATTTCAAGGATGGTAATTTTGTGGAACTTTTGCTTGATAAAGTATTTTGAATAGAAAAAGATTCTTTGATATTATCTTGTTTTCTAGATTGGAATTTTAAAGCACTATCATGAAAATAATATATACTGTGGTGATCAGTGGGCAGATAATGTTAAAATTCGTCTGCCTTGTGTTTTTACTTACCTTCATTATTCCAATATATAATTGCCATCAGTGTTGTAACGTTAATTTAAGGACGGACAGGAAAACTTGAAAAGGCATCTTGAGGGCATATCAGATAGAAATACATGAACCACTTACATTCAGAAGTCTTGGTTAACCAGAAAAGAAATGGAACAGGGAGATGCTTTTGAAAGGTCTTTTCATTTACTTACATTTAGTGACTTAGTGTCCGAAATGACAAAAAGTCATCTTCATGTTGCGACATGGCCAAACATATGAAGAAAACTTTGGTTTTAATGTGGTAACAAGCATTAATGATGGTCATTTGACTAAAGTTTATGTTGATGGTTGGTACTACGGATCACAACAGTATGCAACATTGAATTTACCAGAGCACAGTTTAGCCACCGTCATGCCTGGGGAAACTTCAAGTATTTTACCAGTACTATTGCCTTCATTTACTCAATGAACTGTAACTTCTGTACCAGAACAGACGTACAGTGCGAATAGCTCATGATCAATGACAACGAAGGTGACCTACACAGTCCTGGAAACCAACCCGGGCTGTGTAGGTCACAGTCTAACGTTCTGCCTACTGAGCTAACCGTATGGCTCTAAAGTTTAGATCTTCTTATGTTTATTTGTAGATCTGACGATGACCGAAAAAACTTCACGCTTATCTGACATTTTAATCAGCCAATCAGTGGCCGCCTTTGCGTTGAAGAAAATGGAGGATTTCTATTTTTAATCATTGGAAACCAGACACGTGTTAACAGTTATGCGATTGACACGATTTCGAGCAAAAATGACGATGCCCTTTGACACTTTTTAGTGTCATTTAGATAAATGGCCTGGATTTAAAGCCTCGATACCAAAATTGATAGAATCTAATGTTTCGCAGAAATCATATTCTAAATCTATACTTAATTATTTTTCTAAGGCAAAATCAATTTACGGGTGACGTAAATAATTCTCTGTAAGTTTGCTAAAATAACCTTATCAGAAAATTCAAATCGGCAAAAAGTTGAAAATGAGTTACTGGCAATAAGATCTACATGTAAACACAATAAGATAGAAAACATCAGTCAGACTGGCGTTGGCGGTGCAGGTCACTTTTGTTGTGTTTGATCATGAAATCTGTCTACAGTCATTTGCATTCTACCACTACTCTGGCATGTACGGAGGCAAGTAAAGGCATTTAATTAGTACTGGTCATCTGGCCCCGTGTTCACAAAGAAAATATCAGGATCAATTGATCCTGATTTTATTTTCATTGTTTTATAAAACTAAAACTGACCATATTATGCTAGAATCAAATGGAACATATTCAAAATATTTATAATTGCTTATTTGCAAAGAAACCATCCAATTACAATGGGATAAAATCAACAAATAAGAGAACAAATGCAAACATAAACGGATCAAAATGAGGATAAATTTTAGGATCAAGATCAACTGTAAAATACCTATTTCTTGTAAAAATAACAATGAATTCATTCTAAAATTTCATAAACGTGCTATTTCAAGTCCAGTTTTATCAAGTTTATACTGAAAATTCAATCTAAGAGAATAAATCACGGAGATTATTCGAGTTTTTAAATTTGATCCTGATCCTTAAATCTTTGTGAACACGGGGCCTGGTTTACATATCCTGCAAAGAATGGCGCCGTGGCTAAGCTGTGCTCTGGTGAATTCAATTTGACTTGCATGGGTAAATAAGTTAGTATACTCTGTGTATGCCATTGTTACTCAACCAAATAGAAATGAATATTGACATGTGTAAATTTAAAACTGGTACTGGTTGGAGAACATCAACCGGACACTTTTGGAACATTTTTCTGTACAGATTTCATAATGTTTAACCTAGAGACCAAACAATTTGAAACAGTTCAGCTAGGTTCTTCTCCTAACTAACAAACCAGTTTGTTTATTTCTGATTGTATTGACACTTATATCTGAGGCTCGACAAGGAGGGTATCAGTATTACCTAAATTGTCTACACTACAGTACCATGTGTCCGGACAGATATGTACATGATTTGATTTAATTCAGATAAAAGCTTTGGTGTTTTGATTTTTGATTTGTAACATGATATACAATATGTCAGCAACAAATGCTGAAGTTTTGGATATTCTATAATTTACTCTGCAAATGATTATAGCTGGTATGTGAGGTCAGGCACTGTTTTCTTGACCCCCAAATTTCAACGTCAACATTTTTAAAATAGACATTAAAATATTACGATTTACGGAAATTGAAATAAATTTATTTACTTAATTTTAAAAGAAACCTGCACCTAATTATTGTTGATAAAAAAGTGACTGACAACCACTGAAAATTAAGCATTTTCGGGGCCGTCCGGGTTTGGTGGTTGTCCGGTTTTGGTAGTCCCCAACCAGTACTGTTTAAATGAAATCAAACGTACATTATATCTTCATTTGCATTTTTGAAAAAATGTAATCTTTAATTATTTGTATTTTTGATATTTTGTAAAGGGGGGGGGGGTCAGTGAATATACTTGTTATACTATTAGTGTAAGTTTATTTGAGATTGTTGAGCAAATATATTTTAAGTTTAAACTTGGCAATTTTGTTAGTATGGCAAGGATAATGTAATCGTTCATTTATATAAACTTTAAATAAACACAATTAATGAACATTTTTTTCTTTTTTTGTCAAGGAAACATGCTGCATTTTAGATTAATAATATAAGCCTGACGCCTAACAGCCCAGGCTATATATGCAAGCAACCACTAATAAAGGGTAAAACCTGTCAAACATCTTTAATTATAAAATTGAAACGTTTCATTAACTGATTTACTATCTTGTTGTGGGGCGAGGAGTGGATAAGTTTGTTGGCTTTAAACCATAAACCTCTCACCAATGTATGTTTTAACTTTGAGCCATATAAGGGCCATATTCTTTTATGTGAGGCGACTATTCAGCTAGCTTGTTCTACTCAGGCGTCCGTTTGTGCCTGAAATAATGCACGGCGAGGTCCCCGTGGTCATTATTTACATGGTGATCTTAAAAGGCGCCATATGTTACTTTTATAGTGTTGGTGAGACGGTAACCACAAACAAGATATATAATTCTCGATTCAATTAATTAATTTATCAATTACTTATTACACAATCCTGCAATGCAGCCACTGTTTATTTCTCGTGATTGTAAGGGACGACTAAATAAGTTCGAATTGCTGGAGTCTATGCACATCTCTATGATCAAGCAGGTGAGGTTGTCTGGTGTTGCTTTAAGTTTTAACACCCGAGGTTAGCCAAATCATCTTTCCTATTTCGGCGCACATGGCCAAATTTGTGTGTGTGCGCCATAAAAGCAACCTATTCTGCAACAATACCTGTAACCATGAGTAAATAAATGTTAGATGTTGCTATGATAGCGCCAGCACGGCAGCAGTCGCACATACCTTATAATTACATTTTTGAGTTCCTTTGAACCTTAAAATGGATTTAATGTGTTTTGTTTGATGAAATGACTGTCAAAATCTTATTTACTTTAATGTTGTTATCAGGAGTTTATCCTGGAATACATTTGTTATACTTTTTGTAAAAAAAATTAGTGGGTGGGGTAATATTATTTTGCCGTTTAAGTAAAAAGTAAGTAATCATATGATAATTGTATTATTATTGGTTGACACTTGATTTTGTTATTTATTATTTGATATTGTAATAATATACTTAATACAATTTTTAATTTTACAATAAATATTGATATGTAAACTGACATCCTGATTTTGTATATTTTTCATGAAATCCAAGGTACCATGTAATTCAGGCATCATTTTCTCAGCAATGGCAGCAGCAAAAGTTCGGGACTTTTTATGGATAAATGTACATACATAGTAGTTTCAGAAAAACAAACTTTTAAAACTTTTGCAATTAGTTCTAGGTTGACCCCCAAATTAGGATATATTGACTAGACTACTTGGTGTATCTATTTGATAGGGGATGGCACCAAAGAAGTAATCATTTATTTAACACCATTTCTTTAACGAAAACATTTGTTTGGGGTCTATATACTGTAAAATCATTACTATTCGTGGGGCACGAATATTCGTGGTTTTCGTGGATAGGTCAATCCACGAATTTAAGATCCGACGAAATTATATCCCAACAAATACTTCTTTACCCTGTCTCTGTTCCATGCGTCTGCTCTTTTCCGGCCGACTTTCGTGAAATGGATGTATATACATACGAGTACAGATACAGATTAAATCCGTAAAAACTTGAAAGAAAACTCGATTCTATTTCCGCAATTTACTGTCACAAATGTCGGTCGCATATACGTTAGAATACTTGACATAATCGAGTAAATATGGGAACCCTGGCAACCCAATAATTAGCGCTTATGAAAAACGTCAGTTTGTTCTTATGAATTAAAAAATCTTTGATATTAATTAATGTCGTAAGTACACAAAACTAAAAAAATACAATCGCTAAAACAAATGAATTGTACATTCTTTTTGTCGTTTTAAAATGATCCAGTTTAAATGAATTTTAATCTGTATTTGTGCGCATGCTATTACGTTAACATCAAAGACGCGACCGACTTTTTATAGATCCACACATACTCGTGTTATTTACTCAGATTGATTTATATGCATGTAAATTTACACAGTCGCTGTGACGTCGCGTGTAGTAACTGTCAAATATGGTAAACCAATTCAGGGACATTTTTATAAAAGGGGGTCGAAAACTCGTGAACAGTCCATATAAAGTTATGTGTTTAAAGTGCATTTACTGTATATGTTATGTAAAATGTTCAGAGAAAAACAGTAGTCTCTATCCGAATAAATGGGTATGCTGATTTATTATTTTAGACACAAGTACTGATTACCTCATCAGATAAAGTATTCAGTAAAGTATTAAGTCTACAGATTCGGTCATGACTTTATCTTTTTATTGCTTACATACGTAAACATCAAAAGAATGTGTTCTGAGTCTATATTATTAATTCAAGGAAAATATATTCAAGTATAAGTAAACTAACCTACCCACATAAGATTTTTACTATTTTGTTTATTTACTGAATGTATTCCTGTGTTATTATGATATCGTATTGTTATTTTGATTTAAAAAGGCTTAAGACGACTTACGGACAAAAACAAGAAGACAAGTTTTAATTGGGTCAACGGCAATAGAGTTACTTTCACTGCATGGTAATGAACTTATGTGATACTACTTAACAACAATTTTGAAAACAATTATATTGTAATCATATCATGCTTAGTGCGGGTAATTTATATAGTGCCTATAATTTACAAACACAATTTACCTATTAACCCATTACTTCATGAGCATTTTGTGAAAAATGGCTGTTTTCATTGAAAAGTCTTTTGTTACTAGTTCAAATTGCTATAATACTATAAAAACTGCTTCAACACTAATCAAACTTGGCACAAATGTTGACTGGACCATTGCCCTTGAAACAACATGCTCAGGCTTAAATTTTCTGTTACCATGGCAACGAGGGGATGTCAGAATAATCATACAGTTTCACTGTAGATAGTTTTTTTTACAACGAGTCTGCGATACACTGAAGTTTACAGATTTCAATGTACAGTTTCATTTATAAACCTGTTGCTGGGAGTATAAAATATGTATACATGTTTAAAGGTCAGCAAATATGCGCATTTTGAAAGAGATTTTACATCAGTTAGGAGAGACACGCTGATAGTGTGTAGCGGTTATTTTTTTATTTAGAAGAGAATTTTGTTGTTTTGTAGGGAGTTTTGTTGGTTTGTTGAAGTTGGTTGAATATAATTGTGGTGATCTTAATTGATCAGGGTTTATTGGTTGTAATTAGTTGTTTTGGTTGTTGAGTTATATCTGTTTGTGAAGATATAATTGGTTGATATTGGTTGAATGTTTGTCTGGTCAAAATTATATTAGTTGATGCTTTGATTTGAGGATATATGTAAATATTGGGTGCTTTAGTTTAAGTTGTTTTCTGATGCTGATTAGATTGTGTGAAGTTAATATTGTTGGATGAATGTTTGTGGTTTATAGTGTATCTTAGATTTGTAAAAATATTCATTTTTTGTGTTCTTCATTTTTGTAGTGATTTTATTGTTTTGTTTGGTCATAAGTTGTTTAGAGCTTGGGCTCTTTAGGTGTCTTGTTTTGTTTCGTATAAAAGACGTATACGTGGAAAGATATTTCGTATAAGTGGCTAATAAATGATGTGTGTTTGTTTTGGGTGTAAATAATGATCAGAGTTCTGTGTTGTGGGTGTAAATAATAGTCAGAGGTTGTTGTGTAAATGTATATATTGATTTGAGATAGAACAAGATAAAAATACCTAAACAAATAGTGTTAACTAAACAATTACATGCTAGTTTTCCAACTGAGAATATTTCACTTTTATGCCCAGCCTCCATATCTTGGAAATTGGTTCCAGTATTTATTACTGAATCTTTCCTTAGATTAAATAACATCAAGGCAATCATTTCTCCTGACAGGGGACATCTCAAAATTGCCAAAAATCACTATTTTGCGTTGATTTTTCCCATCAAAATTGATTTCAAAGTGGTGCAACTTCTCAATGGATTGAGATAGAGTCAAATGCTTTTCAGCGTTTGTTACACGTTACCTTATGATCAATCTGGGGTCATTTATAGCCTCTCACAAGTCCAAAATTTTCTTGGCGATAAGGAGGAATACGTCCCCCTTCAAACCCTCCAAACAAGGGGGTACATCCCCCTTCTGGCAACCCCCTGATGTATCTTTTGGTTGGGGGCCGCGCCAAAAAAGTGGTCACTTTTTTAACAACATTTCTCAAACAAAAACAAGTTTTGGGGACCTAAATAAGGCATTTTTTACCATTAGAGACAACAAAAAAGAGGGGGGTGAAAAAGGCGTAAAAAGGCGTGTATATCGCGTAATGGGTTAAGTAAGAGGGTAAAATTCATTTATGTTTGAATATCTATAACGTATATCTACTATTTTTTATCTTTCTAATTATCATTTTATGTTAATTTTGTAAAAGTTTGTCTCCAGAGAATTATCTGTTACATTAAAATATGCTCCAAGCACAAAAATATATATGCTGTTTGTGTGTTTGTGCGTCATTTGTTGCCATTTATTTTGGAAAGGCAATTATACTTGTAAAAAATGTTTACTTTAGTCAGTTCAGGGAAATTATTATTATTAATACAACTTAATGGACGTGTTCTAACTTCTCGTCTACAACTTCACGAATTCGCCATTTAAACTTTTACATGAAATTACAATTGTAATACAGTTGACTCTCAATAAGTCAAAATCGCTTTACTCAAAATTCCGCATAAGTCGAAGAATTTCTAGAGTCCCGTCAAATTTCCTTCTTTATCTTTGTATTTTAACTCCGCTTAGGTCAAATTTTGACTTACCGAGACTCCTGTTTAGTCGAAAAGAAAATTTGGTCCCGTCAATTAAAATCCAACATATTTTCATCTCAATTAGTCGAAGTGTGAAAACAGCCGACTGATCAAAGGTCGGCGACATCAAGGTGAGATGTTGTCACTCGGGTTTCACACGTTTCATAGTAATTTTAATTGCCGGTCATCATGTATTATTAACGCGTCGTAAAAATGGCTTTAATCGGATTCAGGACTGAATTGGTTTTAACAATTAGATAACTAAATTAAGAGTTTATTAATTTAATTGTGCCAGTCTGACAGGTGTTACTGAAATAACAGCCTAGGTATTGACGTGTGTTATCAACGTAAATGAATTGTCAAGAATGCGTATTAAAAACATGTGCATTACTGATAAATACTGACAAACTTGCGTTTATGTCATTGCTACGAATGCTTGTGTTTATGTTTCACTTTTTATATACATATATTAAATTTTGAATAATATATTTCTGTTCATTCATAATTTGTAGTTGTAAGTGATTTACCGTCATTTAAACGATTAAATATTGCGTCATTGCCACTATCAACAATTAGAAAACCTATTTCTTTGTACATTCAATCAGGCACATGTACAAATTTCAACGTAATGGCGACAGATCCACGTTACTCGAATTCCGTTTCTCTCGAAGTAAAATGTCCAGTCCCTTGGATTTCGAGTTACCGAGAGTCAACTGTATTTGTTTCAAACTTGGCGATTTTAGCCTCGTGAATTCACGATTTCAACTACTGGAATTCAAGATTTCAGTATCAAGCAATCGTATCCCTGTGAACAAAATTTGAAGTGGATATTATGGAGACGGCTTGTTCACCGGTCATTCTGTCCGCACTTGTAGTATTGAAAATAATTTTTACCTTTCTTATAATATAAGATGGATTTAATTAAAACTTATGTGAAATGTTTATGCTAGCATGTAGATAAGCATTCTGAGAAACAAATCTTAATTTCTCTTTTTTTTTCATGCAAGAGTTATTTTTGTTTAAATATTTGTTTGCAAAATGTTGTTGTTTACCAATCGCAGTAGTTTGATACTTATCCGGGATGCTTGCATTTAATATAAGTGTAACCACTTTATACTTGGCCTCTCTTCAAAAGGTTTTGAAATCCTGAATGAAAGAAGTTGAAATCCTGAAGTCAAGAATTTTAAATCGTGTAGTTGAAAACATTAATTCATGTAAGAATAAAGTACAAAATTTGAAATGATATTCGCTTTGTTGTTATACGCTTAATATCTTTATCTCAAATTAATTTAAGCTTTTTTTTTAAATTTGCAGGGAAAGCGGACAACCTTCATAGCAGATTGTAA